CAGTTCATGTGCAAGCAAACCCACATCATCTGAGCACAAACTCTGACAACTCTATCCAAACTGCATCTTGCCTTGATTAAAAAAGTGAACGGCCCGAACATACCTGAACTGTTAAAACAGCAGTTTACAGCAGTAGAGAGTCCACATAGGCCCTGAAGTTAACACCACCTTCTAACTCCAATTCCCAGCATAATGAATCTGAAACTCTTCCAAAAACGGCGATGATTTCGGTTTTGTGAATGAACATCTCAGGTGGGCAAAATATCTTTTGGACGTTTCGACGGACGCATCCAACCTGCAGCTCCCACAAGGTCCTACTCATTTGGAGGTTCTGCCGTTTTGCCGCCCAAAATACTGGGAGGGTAGAAGAACATGTTGTGGAACCTTGGCCTGAGATTTTCTCACTTCAGGCTCATTGAAACCCTCCTGGCGGTCCAGGATGAGCCATCTCCACGCTTCCAAACAAATCGGGTTGCGACGGTTGCGCCCTTCCACAGGTAGGACGAGATTCACGAGGCGTCTCCCATCTTCTCCCCTCCCAAATCACCCGGCCGGGCATTGCCTTGCAACGCTCCCAGATTCGGCACCACGCCTCGGCCACACCGACCAAACCCTCTCGGGACCGAGGCCAAAGACCTCCAGAGACCGTCATCCGCGCCTGGCGTCCGGCATCTGTTTTTTTGAGTGGATTTTCAGTGGAACCCAATGGATTTTCGTTAAGGTTGATCTCGAGGATGGCGTCGTTCTCCTGCGCCGCCTCGGCCAGTGCCTGGAGCGAAAGGAGCCAAGCGCCCTCGATCGGGGCAGGGCGCCTGGCACCTGGGACTGGCCTCGGCACCGACCTCGCCGATTTGATTGTCGAAAAGGTCGGTGTGGGTGATGCTGCGGTTCACCTTCAGCACGTCCGCCAACGCCTGGCATTGGAGTGACATGGAAGGAAACAAACAGCCAAATCAGCCCATCATAAAAGGACCAATAAGGGATCCGTGGCCTGTGCCCCAGCATCTCCGATGTTATTCGATCTAAGGTTGATGTGGGTGATGCTCTCGTTCATCTTCAACGCTTCTGCGAGCACCTGGCAAGTCCACGACATGGCGACGAAGAATGAAGCGCCTCTCCAGACACACCTGGACTTGGGCATCCCCGATGTCCTGGCTCTGAAGATTGATCTCCTTCTTGGCCCCGTCGGTCTTCAGCTCTTGCACGAGTTTCTGGCCAAGGTGCCAACGAGGCAAAGGGCATTGAAACGCTGTCACTGCTCTGTGCAGCTCAAAGTCAGTCGAGATATGTTGGGTCACTATTATGTTGTCAGTGGTGTCACCTTCACGTTTAAACGGTGTTTGGTTCAGTGATGTTTGTTCGCTTTTGGATGGTCTTGAGCCTCATGAGCATGAACCTGATGCTCCACCGATGGTTCCGGCCCAAGGGACCCCTTTTGCCAACGGCTCCTTTGTGAGCCTTTGAGCTACGAGCTCTCTGCGGTGCCGCCATAGGTAGCACCAACCTGGCCTTCGAAGGCCCTCCGTGACTTCAAGTCTGAGGAAAAGAAGTGCTTGGAAAGCACCAGTGGGGGCCGCTTGCTTTGTGCTTTCGCCTCGTGGGTTTTCGACCCTCACCTCCGTTGCCAGTTGTCCCCACGACATATGTTAGCTATTAAGAACGGTGGGACGGGGACGACCACATCAAACTGCAATGCAAGAATACATTAATTACTTGCAAAGTGTTTCCTCGCAAAAACAGATCAGAGAAGCCAAGAGCTCCGTGACTCTCTAAGTAGTGGAGAAGTTCTACTGTGATTGGTGGCATCTTACAAAACGACTATTGGAACACAGTGGAAGCAAAGACTTAAAACAAATACAGTAGAACTGCCGAACAGCAGCAAGTGCATGGGGATCATTCGGCAATTGGGGCCCACCAAAGAAATAACATTTATCGTGATTGAATTGGATCTCCCGTTGGCTATGCAATCTGCGGTGGCCAGCGAATGTTCCTGAATCTTTCTGGTCTGCAGTATGTACCAAGACGCCTTGACCCCAACATCCCCAACAAACGCACACTTCTTGAAACCTTGGCCTTTCACATCAATGGATGGAGCCAAAGTTAGTGGGATTTTTGCAATCTTGGCTGAAACGCATGTTCTGAAGACAATGGCTATATAGTTAATTAACTTGTCACGTCCAAACTTGGTTCGGCTTCCCTTCAGGAGGAACTACAAGACCCTGAGGCCTCAACAGCAGCAGTTGCCTTTGCCGCCTTGAGACAGTCTCGGTTGGGAGCCCATTCGAATCCAGAAGGGGGGCTCCATGGGGATCGCGCTTCGATGTCTACATGGTTCCGTACCAGTTCATGTGCAAGCAAACCCACATCATCTGAGCACAAACTCTGACAACTCTATCCAAACTGCATCTTGCCTTGATTAAAAAAGTGAACGGCCCGAACATACCTGAACTGTTAAAACAGCAGTTTACAGCAGTAGAGAGTCCACATAGGCCCTGAAGTTAACACCACCTTCTAACTCCAATTCCCAGCATAATGAATCTGAAACTCTTCCAAAAACGGCGATGATTTCGGTTTTGTGAATGAACATCTCAGGTGGGCAAAATATCTTTTGGACGTTTCGACGGACGCATCCAACCTGCAGCTCCCACAAGGTCCTACTCATTTGGAGGTT